GCGACCGCGCTAGAGAAAAAACCTCCCAAAAAAAAAAAAAAAAAAAACAGAAAGAGACAGAGAGACAGAAAGCGAGAAATTACCCCTCCAGGGGTGGGGGATGGCCACGCTGCAATCCCTTCTCCTCCATTCTTCTTTTAGGATCTTGGGCACGCACGTACACATGCCCAGTGTGAGTTTAAGCCACCAGGTCCAGGACTCGAACTGTGGTCGACGACATGGGAGTTCAGCAACATGGCCACCATGCCAACTGCTAGTCCCCAGGCTATGTATATTAGATATATTGATATATATGAAACAAGCGAATTTCGTGCTTAGACTTGGTTATTTCCTCAGGCTAGATCATTATGCATATATAAGTGTTCCAAAATAAAATAAAATGTAAAAATCTAAAATCTGGGCCCATCAGTAGCACAGTGGTTAAGGTGGTTGGATCCCACATGGCTGACTGAGCAGTTTGAGTACTGATTCTGGTGGCTAGAAAAATACGCGGGTGTGTTTTCCCAAAAAGAGAAATGGAGAAGGGACTGTGATGTGACCATCCTCCATGATTGATTTTTTTCCCTCTCCCTCTTTCTCTGTCTCTAGTGAGTGTGCACACCCCCTAGCAATTTTTTCTACGTTTTTGTCATAGGGCATCTGTGCTTGCTAGAGGAAACAGAGAAAGGGAAAGTGAGAAATCACCCCCTAGGGGGATGGCCATGCTGCAATCCTGTCTCCATTCTCCTCCTGGGATTTGGGCATGCACGTACATGCACCTGGTGTGATTTCCTTTTTTTTGAGAGGTTGTTCCTATAGGCACGTGTGCTCACCAGAAAGACAGAGAGACAGAAAGCAAGAAATCACCTCCCAGGGGGATGGCCACATGGCAATCCCTTCTCCTCCATTCTCCTCTAGGGATCTTGGGCACACACGCACACGCGCCCGGCGTGAGTTTAAGCCACCAGGTCCAGGACTCGAACTGCAATCAACTACATGGGAGTCCAACGACATAGCCATTACACCAACTGCTGATCCCTGTTATTATTATTTTTTAATTTGCAATAGGGCACGTGCACTCACCAGAGAGAGAGAGAGAAAGAGAAAGGGAAAATGAGAAAGTAAGCCATCAGGTTTGGACCTTGAACCATGGTGGGCCATATAGGAGTCTAGCACCTTAACCACCATGCCACATCTCCGCCCCCAGCAAATTTTTCAAAAAAAGAAAAGAAAAAAGAATGTTCAGGGTCAGCTGGTGGCATGGTGGTTGGGGCTGCTGGATCTTATATGGTCAACTGGGCAGCTTCGGTCCGAGACGTGGTGGCTTGAAAATCATGCTGCACACATGTCTATGTGTACCCAAAATCCCAAGAGGAGGATAGAGTAGAGACTGCAGAATGGCCTCCACTTGGGGAGTAATTTTTCACTTTCTCTCTCTTTCTTTCTCTCTGTCAGTATCTCTCTGGCAAGTACATAAATCCTATAGCAAAAACTAAAAAAAAAAAAAAAAATCTAAAAACACCTCTGATCCCAAACAATTCAGATAAGAGATATTCAACCCACATTACACTTTGCACCAAAAGAAACAAAATGTAGCTCCAAGCCTCCAGGAGCCCCCAATACATGGCAGACACAGAAAAGAACAATTCTATAGTACTATGCTTTCAGAAGAACATGGGGTAGGAGAGATTAGTTTCAACTCAGGAAACCTGGAATGCAGCAGTTATACTGAGCCTTAAAAAGATATATAGAAAAAAGAGAGAGAGAGAGATGTACAGAGGGCCAGCCGGTGGCATGTGGTTAAGGGAACTGGACTCCCACATGGCCAACTGCAGTTCAAGACTCAAATCTGGCGGCTTGCTTTCTCACTTTCTCTCTCTCTCTCTGTCCCTCTCAGGTCAAATTAAAAAACAAGTAAATAAATAAATAAAGTTAAATAAAACAATTCTGGAAGGCAGACACAGTATCCCAGCAGAAGGGAAAGACTCTTAAAAGCAGGGTGTCTGTGGGACCAGCAGTTAGCATAATGGCTATGTCGCTGGACTCCCATGTAGTCGATCACAGTCTGAGTCCCGGACTTGAACTAATGCCGGGCACGTGTGCGTGCATGCCCAAGATCCCGAGAGGAGAATGGAGGAGAAGGGATTGCGGCGTGGCCATTCCCCCGGGGCGGTGATTTCTCGCTTTCTGTCTCTCTGGCTCTTTCTGTCTTTCTGGCTAGCACATGCACCCTATAGCAAAAACCTCTCAAAAAAAAAAAAAAAAAAAAAGCAGGGTGTCTGGTAGATGAATATAAGAATGGGAGGGACCAGCAGATGGCGTAATGGCTATGTCGCTGGACTCCCATGTAGTCGATCACAGTCTGAGTCCCGGACTTGAACTAATGCCGGGCACGTGTGCGTGCATGCCCAAGATCCCGAGAGGAGAATGGAGGAAAAGGGACTGCGGTGTGGCCATTCCCCCGGGCGGTAATTTCTCACTTTCTGTCTCTCTGTCTCTCGCTCTGTCTTTCTGGCAAGCGCTCACACCCTATAGCAAAAACCTCTAAAAAAAATTATTAAAAAAAAAAAAGAATGGGGAAAGTTGGGACCAGCAGTTGGTGTAATGGCTATGTCTCTGGACTCCCCTGTAGTCAACCACAGTTCAAGTCCTGGACCCAGTACCAGGCATGCGTGCGTGCATGTCCAAGATCCAGAGAGGAGAATGGAGGAGAGGGAATTGTGGTGTGGCCATCCCCTCTGGGGGTGTCCGCTTGGGATCTTGGGCACACACGCACACGCACCCAGCATGAGTTTAAGCCACCAGGTCCAGGACTTGAACAGTGATTGACTATATGGGAGTCCAGCAATGTAGCCATAATGCCATCTGCTGGTCCCAGGAGTGACTTTTTACTTTCTCTCTCTCTCTCTCTCATGAGCACATGTGATCTTTGACAAATTAAAAAAAAAAAAGAATGGGGGGACCAGCAGTTAGCATAATGGCTATGTCACTGAACTCCCATGTAGTCGACCACAGTTCGAGTCCCAGACCCAGTGACTTAAACTCACACTGGGCACACTTGTGTTTATGCATGCCCAAGATCCCGAGAGGAGAATGGAGGAAAAGGAATTTTGGCATGGCCATTCCCAGCTTGGGGGGGGGGGTGATTTCTTGCTTTCTATTTCTCTGTCTCTGTTTTTCTGGCAAGTGCACATGCCCTATAGCAAAAACCTCTCAAAAAAAAAAAAAAAAAAAAAGAATGGGGAGAGTAGATGAAGACTTTCAATGCTATAATAAAAGTTTCAACTCAAGTTGAGGGATTGGGAGATGTGAGTTTTGAGTAGAATGCCATGAGTAAGCTGTTGAAAGAGCAGGTCATGGGGCCAGTAGGTGGCTGGTAGTTGGGAAGCTGGACTCCCACATGGCCAACTATGGTTCCAGTACTGGGCCTGGCAGCATGCTTTCTCACTTTTCCTCTCTGTCTCTCTCTGGTGAGCACACGTATCCAGTAACAAATTTTTAAATAATAATAAATGAAATTAATAAATAATCTTAAAAAATAAAGAAGAAAGAGCGAGCAGGTCCTCTTGTACCTGCAGTGGAAGCCAGCTGAGATCTGAAACAATACCATCGCTATTACCCTTTACTGGAAAGAGGAGATGGCAGCCAGTCAGGTTTCCAAGAAAAGCAATTTCCCCGCAGCATGAGTTTCAGGGATGGGAGGTTTGTTCATTCCTCTGCTGGTAAACAGGGGAGAGCTACTCTGGGCCAGCAGCTCAGTCCAGCAAAATGCCTGCAAATGTACAATCGCCTGTCCAGGGTGTGATTCCGATCTCCCACCTTCGCTTGCATCACAATCACGAACAGACTAGAGATTCTGGTTCTGCCTCTTGGACAAGTTATTTGCCTTCTCTGCACCTCAGTTTCCACACCTGCCAGGGGAACGAGGTTTGGAGGTGACCTCTAGAATCAAGTCTCCTAATTCTTTATAGCGCCGATGACTTTACTATGGGTAAAGATGCCCGGCCTCCGCCCAGCCTGGCTGGGCCCTCAGCTGTGGAGCATGGCGCCACCAACCTGGGGCCCCGACAAGAGCCACACCTGGCGCCTCTCCGCTCGCGCCGGCCGACAGAAGTAAGGCACCCACCCATTGCAGAGCACGAGGGAGGAGGCGCAGGACAGGTGCGGAGCCTCTCAGCTTGCCAGGTACCTGCCCCGCGGCCACTGAGAGCTCACGCCTAGGTCGGAGGACATCCAGAGTTGTGTGGATCAGATTCCCAGAACGTAGGACCTCTACTGCCGGCGAGAGCTGTGGAAGGCGCGTGGGGGCGGGAATGACACTGGGCGGAGCCTAGTTAAGGGCGGGACCGGGCCGCCATGGTAGCCTCGCCCAGGGCGTGGCCAGGTGCGTCGCTCCAGGCGGCGGGCGTCCACGCCTGCGGGGATTACGTAATGACGCAAACCGCGGGGTTGGGGTAGGGATGGACAGTTCTCTGGGATTACGTAACGAAACGTGATGAGGGGCGGGGAATTCCGCAGAGGGCCCGGGAGAGAGCGGAGCTCCAGCCGGAACTGGGCAGGGCTCTGAGCGAAGCGGGAGGCGGGGCATGTGCAGGACGTCCACAGCGGGAGGCGGGGCATGGGCAGGACGTCCCTAGCAAGGTGCCTGTCGGGCGGCGGCTGCTAGCATGCTCCGCTGGGCCCAAGCCTGGAGGCTCCCTCATGGGGGGTTCAGACCCTCCGGCCCCAGCTTCTGGAGGGTGCCCGTCGCACCCAGCAGCAGCAGCGGCCGAGGGGCCACCGAGCCGAGGTCAGTCCAGGGCTCCGGGTAGGAGGTCGTACTCCGCTCCTCCCCCTCACCGGCCCCGAAAGCCCCACCTCCTCTCCTTGGGCCCGCCCCCATGGGCCGCTCCCCCAAATCCCTTACCCCTTCCCTGGCTCAGACCTTCCCTCTATTCTTGCTCCTCCCGCTAGGCCGTTGCCGCTTTCCTATAAGCTACTAGACGGGGAGGCTGCCCTCCCGGCCGTCGTCTTTCTCCACGGGCTCTTCGGCAGCAAAACCAACTTCAACTCCATAGCCAAGGCCTTGGCCCAGCAGACAGGCCGAAGGGTGAGCTTCCGGGTAGGGCGGGGCCTCTGCGGGGCGGGGCCTCCGAGGAGACCGGGGCCGGGCTTGCCCTTTCTTCTGGCCCTGGCTGAGGGGTGGCCCATTTCAGTGCAAGGTATCCCCGAAGCAGAAATGAGAAGAGTACGTCTGAGAATGAAGGCCAGATAGAACCAGGCCCTGATGGACCTCATTCACTCCCTCCTGCTGCCATCTATCCATTCCTTCACGTTGTGGATCTTCATCTGGTGCTCCCTCGGAGCCAGGCTCATCTAGCCAATACCTAAGTACCAACAACCTCCCCATCAAGGGGGCTAGCCCCCCGCTTGTTCACAAGAGATGACAGGCAGCTGCTTGGGGAAGCTCGTTCTTTTGTGTCCTGGCTTTTTCTGGGGTTGCCACCCTGATAGATGTAGTCACACCCTTGAATCTTCTCTTTTCTGGCATAGTGGCCCCAGGTTCTTGATCTGTGCCTCAGACGTCTGGCACCTAGAGCCCTTTCACCATCTGGGCCCTTCTCCCTCGTCAGGATCTGTCCACCCCCATGGACCTGCAGTCTGCACCGAGAATGTGGATGCCAGTGCTGCTCTATCTCTCACCCCACTCCCCAGGTGCTGACAGTAGATGCTCGGAACCATGGTGACAGCCCTCACAGCCCGGACATGAGCTATGAGGCCATGAGCCTGGACCTGCAGGGCCTGCTGCCCCAGCTGGACCTGGTACCCTGCGTCCTCGTTGGCCACAGCATGGGAGGAAAGACAGCCATGCTGCTGGCACTACAGAGGGTGAGCCTCCCCCATCTGGGGCCTCCTCCATCCAGTGTAGACCCTGAGTCCCAGCAGGCAACCTAGGACTCAAGCGAGCCTTGGACAGCCAAGTTCAGGAACTGTATCTGAGACCCACCATACCTGCCCTAAAACAGGCCCCGAGTCCAGTTCTCTCTCACAGCCAGAGCTGGTGGAACGTCTGATTGCAGTGGACATCAGCCCCATGGAGACCACCTCCGTCTCGAACTTCGTGACCTATATGGCAGCCATGAGGGCTATAGACATCCCAGCCGAGGTGCCCCGCTCCCGTGCCCGAAAACTGGCGGATGAGCAGCTCAGCCCTGTTGTCCAGGTGATGCCCCTAAGCCTCGGGATGGTACTGTAGACTGGGACCTGTCAAGGGCAGAGTGGGCCCCAGGCCTCCATAGGGAGGCGCCCTTCAACTGCCAGATTCCCACAGGACATAGCGGTGCGTCAGTTCCTGCTCACCAACCTGGTGGAGGTAGATGGGCGCTTTGTGTGGCGCGTGAACTTGGACGCCTTGGCCCAGCACATGGACACGATTATGGCCTTCCCACGACGACAGGACTCCTACCCCGGGCCAACCCTCTTCCTCCTTGGTGGAAACTCCCAATTTGTGCAGTAAGTCCTGGCAGTAGGAGGGGCATGCCGTACTCACCTGGCCCCAGCCTGGGGCACCTGTCTGAAGGAGGGTTCTGGGTTGGGCAGGGGGTGCCCGAGAACCTGCAAACACCACTGGGAGCATGGGCTTATGTGACTCTCTATCTCTCCCCACTCTGCCACCATGTGTCTGTCCATCATCCATCTGTCACCCATGCTCAACCACCTTCTCTGGTGGATAGTCCGAGCCACCACCCTGAGATCAGGCGGCTCTTCCCGCGAGCCCAGATGAAGACTGTGCCTGACGCTGGCCACTGGGTCCATGCCGACCGCCCACAGGATTTCATAGCTGCTATCCGAGGTTTCCTGGACTAAGAGTTGCTGCCAACAAGGGGCATGAAACCCCGGCTTCAGGTCCTTGCAGCTTGCTGCACATTTTTGCACAGGAGGACTCAGCAGGGGCAAGTACTGAGAGGGCCCAAGGGTACAGGAATGTCAGGCTTCAAGCTTTAATGAATAAAGACATGACTGCCATAGTCCTGGGATGAGCTTCGTCACCACCAATGTACCCACCGACCCCAGGGCGTTCGGGCCTGGGGGGGCCTTTCAGCATTGCGGTCCATGTGGGCTCCCAGAGCAGCCCTGGACTCTCTCTCCAGCTGACTCTGGACCTGCTGCCTCACCAGCTGCTGCATGTCCTCCTGGAGGCAGGAACGTGGGTTTAGGACCAACCCTGTGCCCTTCTCTCCACACCCCCAGGCCCAGCTGGTGTTCCCACTCTACCTCCCAAGCTTCCACCTCCTGTCTCAGCCTCAGCTTTTCCTCCAGGACCTCCAGCAGCTGGGCCTCCACAGCACGCAGCTTGGCTTTGCAGGTGTGCAGCTCAGCCTCCACTGCACGTTTCCTGTAGGTAGCGGGGAGAACAGCCTGAGGCCCAGGCCCAGAGTCAGGTGCTGGGTTGCAGGGGTGGGCATGGGTGGTCACAGCCCACCCTGCCTGCTGACAGGGTGGGCATTTCTGTGGCTTTCCTCCCAGGAA